ATATGGTTTTCTCAAAAATAATTGTCACTTTGAAAATTATTAGCAGAAATTTTGAAAAGCGAATCTATTGATTAACCAAGAGAATTTATCCACATCGTTTACTTTGAAAACTAATTAACCCAGTCTTCGTGAATTGGAAAGGAAGACAATACAAGTGCAACTCTATAAGAAAAGTCTTTTTAAATATTGAAAATAAAAATCTATTTTGTTAACTCGATAAGAAATTGCCAGGCTTGTTTGGATTCAGGAACACTAAGTACGTTTATAAAACTCTTTTCATGTACTTATTTTATAGTTCGTAAATTATGATTGAAAATTGCTTATAAGTTACTTATTAAACATTCCAAACAAGTTTGTAAAATTCATAAGTGATGAGAAGTAAACATATGTAAGCAAAGAAAATAAATAAATAAATAAAATGATACGCGCAAATCGAATTACAAATTTCTTTAAAATGTTTCCGTAATTGTTGCATGTACTCATTACTTTCATTTTTATACAATCATTAAAGTCTTAAAAGAGCTAGATATTTATCTATGTATTTTCCATTCGATCATATCCTTTTTCGTACTTTCTAAATAAAAAAATAAAAAAATCATATACCTCTTAATCAAGTTAACTGACCACAATTATATAAACCATGAATAGAATAATTATTAATTAAATTACAAAATAATGTACCGGGCCATCTCTGGTTTATATCAAATAAAAGTTTAAGAGTTTGTTTGGTAATAAGCATGTTGCAAAGCTCATTTTACAACTCCTGAGACGACTTTTCTCGTATTATTTTGGTCAAAACAATATTTTTGAGTAAAACCAGTAGAATTTCAAATGCAAATTAAGCTATTAATAAAAAAATATTGGAGAATATTTTGATATGGATTAAGCATTGGGAAAATTGCTATGAAATCTCAAAAAAAAAAAACATAATTACTAAAAAGTTCTCATGATAATGAACCAGCCTGCAACGATAAGTTTTATGGTAAGAAATAACAACTACTTACTTGCCATTAGAATTTATTAATTATTTTTTTTACTTGCACCCCATTATAATTCTCTCTTAGGCATTCATATAATCATTACTCAAATAAGAGATTATCAGATTATTAAGATGATATAGAATTTAATTGTAAGTGGCATTGTACGATCAGACAAATCCACGATTTCATGGGCTGTACGCACATTCACGCATCATATGGCTAGGAGTAGGACGGCTTCTTTGCAATTGCAAGTACATCTTGTACTTCTCCACCGTCTATATTTGGAGTCTTTTATATTAATAAAATGGGTTAATTAAGATGTAAAACAATCATGAATTATTTCTTTATACGTATATAACACTATAAAGTTTTCGAATATTGTGTAATTTTGGCCAAAAACTTTTGGCTTAGAAATTGTGATTTTCTGGAAGCTTTTATTAATCATTATCGTCCCAAAATTGTTACAAAAAATTGGTTGTTAAATAAAAACATTCGAATATCTACAGCTTCGAGACATAAATTTTTAAGATAAAATTAGACCTTAACTCAAAAGTTTTTATTGGTGTGATATTACATATAAACGTTCTGAAATGTGGTAAAAGTGCCGTGTTGTTAAGCCTAATAACATTGACCAGTAAATTCACCTGATAATTATTGAGGGTCCTATCATATCAAAGCAGCGGATGTTAACCAACATGATCTTTTTCCTTTATTTGAAAACATTCATATGTATTATTACTGCGCACATGAAATTTTTTTAGTGTAAGATGCGTATGAAGGAATTTTTACAGGTACATTTGCACTTTTACTATAGTAATATTTCATTCAGTCTTATTTATAAGATTTAAATTTAAAAAAACATGTAATTCATTTTATAAGCTTAAATTTGAATTTGTCTTAACATTTAATGTATTTTTTAATATTGCTCTTAATTATTTTTTTTCTTATAACACTTTCTCGCACATTTTCTTTCATTATTTTTCTCATTTATTATAAAGGCATATTTAGAAACAAAAACTATTTCTAACATATTTATTATTTTTAACTAATTTTAATTAATTAATTATTATTTGTAAATTAGTCGTTTAAAATTTATAATAAAGACCGGAAGGAGTGAAAAATTAAAGTGTATGCATGAGATTTATAATAAATTTGAGACAAGTTATACGGTTTGTAATCATAAAAATATATTCCTTTAGTCCTATTTATAAAGTATTTTTAATATATTTTATATAAACCAAGAAAATTCTTAAACTACATTAACTATTTATTAAAATATAATAAATTTTTAATTTTACTCCTATTTAATATATATACATTTCAAAAAAAATAACTATATATATTATAATAAATGAAGAACAAAATAGTATATTCATGCTAAAAATTTTATAAAATAATTTATAAATAAAATAAAATAAAAACTGTTTTCTTTGTCTTAAAAATAAAAATAGTAGCGGAGGGATATTTCACATCATGCATAAATATAGAGGACAATTAAGAAACGTGGAGAAGCGGTGGATGTTCAAGTAAAGACAACAGAAATTGAGGCGAGCCATTCCCTGCGGTCTGAGTCGTTCTCAAAACAAATCCATGTAGAAGATTCTAAGCAATGTTTCGCTTTTTTTTTTTTTTTTTTGTGGCTCAACATGTATTTGGCATTTAGTATGAACGATTCATATGGGAAAAGTCACGGCAAATAAGGTCCGCAATTCATCCACAAACACACGCCAAAATTTCAAAACTATTTTTCTAAAACCAAAAAGAAAAAAAAAAGCACTTTCTTCTATCATAAATATAAGAATTAGATAATTAATTTATATAGATTTAAAAATTAATTGATATAGTTATTTGTGAAAAATCTATGTTGATTTTGTTTTCTAAGAAAAAACTCTTGATGTGATAATTTACAGTGGCATTCTAGCTAAAATATTATACATAACAGGAGTAATTTAGGAAAAATAAATCAATATGAAGAAGGAAAAAAAATTAAAATTTTATATTTAAGATTAAAACAAATTTATTTTAACTGTTTCATACATTAATAATCAAGTTATTGGGTCTATTGGAACAAACTAATTTTTCACAACGTGACAAATTAAAGTTTAGATTCCTGGTGAAAGATACTATCTCCGGTTCTTAATATAAAAGTTCGTTTGACTTTTATTTTGGTTTCAGATATAAAACTCTGATTCACTTTGTCTATTATATTTATCTATTTTTTTAAAGTAGTTTTTATAATACTGATAGTTCTAGTTACTATATTTGATTAGGAAGAATATTTTAAAAAAGACAATACTTATTTATTACAAATAACTAATTTAACTAATTTTCTTAGTATATTCAAATTAGTTAACTAGTTCTTATATTAAAAACCAAATGTAGCATGTCCTTTCACATTTAGTGCTTAATAATGTTTTAAATAGGCAATCAATGAAAAGTTACCTGTTTTTGGTGAAAGGGATTAATAAAATGTTTTATCTATCAAGTTTGTCTTTATTTTGATTTTGGTTAAAAGATCAAAATTCATGGTTTAAAATTTGAGATATCAAAATCAAAATTCATCTAAATTTGAAAAATAAAAAATTGTAGTAACATGGTGAGACAAATATCATATGCTCTTCTCATCTTATTTATAAGATACTTTCGGTATGTTTCACATAAACAAAAAAAACTTTAAATTGTATCAACTCTGTATTAAAATATAACAACTCTCTAACTTTACTTATATTTAATATATACATCTTTTTAAACAAATAATTATTTATGCTATAATAAGTAAAGAGCAAAATAGTATATTTATCCTAAAAATTTAATAAAATAACTTATAAATAATAAAATCTCTGCTATGTAAGTGCAACATGAGAAAGGTTGGCGTCTTTTTTTTTTCTTTGGACTGAGAGAAAGGTCGGCGTCTTCCAATGTGGCAAATGGTAGAGAGAAGCGGAGGGTGGGGTGGCGTTTTCAAGAATAATAATGCAGGGAGCAACTCCTTTGTCTCGTTCATTGCATCCAATCAACACCTGCGTTTTTTTGGGGTGCGTTGTGTATTCTCTTTGGATATTCTTGGATTCTCCCTCAAGATTCCCACCGCACCCCGCAATATGCCTTTATTCTCTCCACTTTGCTTTTTTACCTTGCCAAGCAAGGAAAAGTAACTCCTCCCCGAATCCAACAGGAATTTTCACCCCGGCCTGAGAATTGAGATTCAATTTCACCTCTCAAATCGTAGGCAATTAATAAATACTCGTATTTCTTTAAGCCTTTTAAATTCAACCGGTATGAGTTGTTGAAGTTTTGATAAGTTCTTGATACAAACATAAATTTTCTTAAATATTCCATGCAATTCTTATTATAAGTTTTAAATAACCAATTCAAGAATAATAAATAATCAGTTAAAATTAGTTAAAAATAATAAATAAATTAGAAATATATTTTTATTTTTAAGTATACCTTCATAATAAATAAGAAAAAAGATGAAAGAATGTGTGAAGAAATATGATAACAAAAAAAATTAAAGGCAATATTATATTAAAAAAATACATCGAATGTTAAGATAAATCCAAACTAAAAATTATAAAATAAGTCACACTCCTCTCTAAATTTAAAACTTATAAATAGAATCGGACAGGATAATTTTAAATAAAGTAAGGAGAAAAATAAATACCACCAGACTCTCCTCAAACATAAAAAGAAATAAATAGAACTAGGTGGAATCCTTTATTTTTTTACACTTTTTTCCTTTTGAAAAGGGAAGTTAAACTTATCCTGAGTTGCCTTTCACTTTATGTGAATTGATCGAGATGCTTCGCTATATATGAAAAAGAAAACAGCGTAACTGAGCTTGAAATTTCAGTAGACTAAAAGCAGTTTAAAATGTTCAATAGTAATTTACGAAAACGTGCTTAAAAGTAATTATAATCATGATACTACTTAAATAAAGCCTAACAAAATGGCTAAACTGAATTAACAAAGAAAAAAGTAAATAAATAAAAATAATAAGCCAATACAAAAACCACAAGAGAAAACAGTTGGAACTTTGAAAATATTAACCACAGTTCTGAATTCTGACAAATGTATTCTAATGTACGTAGGTTACACAACAACCACCACAAAACTGTCACCTGTATCTTCACCTCTATAATTTAGATTAACCCCCCCAGAACAAGAGAATATATCACAGATCAACTACAATATTCTGATTACAAAATTTCATTTTTCATTTTTTGCTGCACGGTGTCTTCATCATCATCTCAAACTCAATATCCGTGAGAATGAGAGGTTGTATGTGTAGAAGATGATGAATCAGGAGAAGAATTTGAATGAACAGCTCCTTCACTACCGTGATTCACCCTTTCTTCTTCATCTGAATGCTGTGACTGCTCACCCTGCTCCAATTGCTTCACCTGCGCCTTCTTACCAAGTGGCGGCGGCATAGGAGGATGTGCCGCCACCGGCGCATAAATTCCGGTGGGTGTGGTCACCGTAGTTACCTCACCTGATGCTGTGGAAGTTGCCACTGCCGCCGCATATTCCGGTGGTTGCACAAAAATATTCCCCACAAGAACAAAAGGAGCTGTTTGTGAAGTAGCATTGTTGTGAATCATAGGACTCGGTCTTCTTGTGTGCAACCGAAATTTCTGAAACAAATTAAAAACATTTCAGATTCATTGCTTCAAGTGAATCAATTTCATTCAACATCTTTAGAACCCATCAGCAGAATCTAAACATATGAATTCACAAGCAGAAACTAAAGAAATAGGTTTAAACTTCGAATACACGAACCTGCAAGTGGCTTTTGACTTCGTCGTTTGTGAGGCCATCGACCTTCATGAGCTCTCTGATCTGCTTGGGAGTTGCAGCTGATGAACCCAACAGAGACAGAAAACATGAATTAGCATTTCTTGCGGGGAGATATAGTAAAAACAATGAAAATTTGGGTAATAGTGAGTAATTAAGATAAGATACGCACAATCTGGACCGCCTAGCTGTTGAAGGGCCTGTAAGAAGCGTTTGTGTAATTCAGGTGACCAGCACCGCCGTTGCTTCCTCTGACCCTGCCCATCTTTCTCCTCCGATCTCTTGTTTCCGCCTCCGTTGGTGACGGCACCGGCGGTGGAGCTCATTGCAGCCACGGGAGCCGGAGATGCAGATTTACCGGCCGATGTCTCGTTATTGTTCGTCTTTGCAACATTGTCTTCTCTCTGAAATGGCTGGAAGGCGCCTCCATTTCTCTTCACTTCCACCACCGTAGCTTTTCTGGGCAAATCCTGCACAAACCAGAGATTCAATTCACTTCCCCGTTTCGACTCAGACCCTGGAATTATCTCTAGAACTTAGTGATCCAAACTCAGATTCCAACACAACCAAATTTCATATCAATCAGATTTGTTTTTCCTCCCCCTAAGAGGTTAATTCTAGCGTACCTCTTTAGTTGGGGGATCTGGGTTCCAGAGCTGAACGGATCTGAGCCAGTCGGATTTTCTCTTATCAGAGTTCTTATTGTCGTCCTTGAGAATCTTGGGCTTATGCGAATGTTGTTCGTCTTCGTCGTCTTCGTCGTCACAATCAGGGGAAGGCCTTTTCTTGATGGGAATAAACTCTTCGAGCACAGGGCCTTCTTCCATTGACGTCTGCTCCGAACAATCCGATTGTCCATGAAAATTGTACTCCGTGGTTCCAGAAACTTGTTGCCTACAAGCTTCAATGGCTGCCACAAGGGAAAAAAAATCCAAAAATCAGAATCAAAATCAAAAGGACCAGAATCAGTAATGGAAAATCCAGAAAGGGATGGTGTACCTTGCGAGACAAGCTCCAGTGAAAGCGGAAGTTCTTTAGCGAACATCTGAATTTTCAAGCGTTCTTCTTCCAACGCTTCGATGTATTCTGGAAACCCCATTTTCTGACGCTGCATTTTTTTTTTCCCTTTCTGAGGAGAAATGAAAAAGAAAAATCTAAACTTTGGTCTGAGAGAAGGATGAAAAGTGTGAGAGGAAAATCTGGGAGAGAAGGAAGGAAGAGGAATATAAAAGAATGGCGTTTTGTGCAAGCATAGGTAGATCCGACCCACTTAAGAACAAGCAGAGGGTTCTTCTCAAAGAGAAAGAGAATATTATGGGATCTAAGCAGAATCAAAATTAGGAATAATAAACTTGCAAACGAAGGGAAGCCAGCAACATTAAATTAAAATTAAAAGGGAAAAATTTTGAATGAAAGAGAGGGAATGTGAGGGTAAGGAAGGAGGATGAGAAGGGGAAGAAGAAGTCGGGAAAATATCGAGGTCGGGGCGTCGCGTACAAAAACGAATCTTTGATGGATTTTTAAAATACTAATAATAATACTAATTTTCTTAGTAAGAGAGAGAAGGAGAGAGAGTTGAATATTCGAGGCTTTGATTCGCTTTTACACTGTGGGCTGGCTCTGGCGTCATCGATTTTCTTCTTCACCCGCTGATTCATATCCACTTCACTTGCCTCTCATCAGATAAGTTCCAACACCCTCTCTCTCTCTCTCTCTCTCTCTCTTGTCCGGTCATTATTTCTTTTATTGTCTTTTTCTACGTCTGTCATTTATGTTTTTTATATAATAGAATTTTTGGGCAAAATTTTTTTTATATCCACGCCTAAAAATAATTGTCCTGTTTGTTTATTGTATGTTGCAGAAGTATTTTGAAAAAAATTGTAAAAAAATCCCTAGTTAAAAAGTTAATTAGTTAAAAAGACATAAATTTAAGCAAGTGCAACTATGATTCGTTAATGTAATATATCTTCCACTGTGTGCAACATCACTTCTGTTGTGTGCAAATAATAAACGAAAGTCATTTGCATATAATGGAAGAGATGTTACACACAACTGAAAATATGTTGCACTCACAGATCATACATGTACGTGTTCAAATTTATGTCTTTTTAGCCAATTAAATTTTCAAACAAGAATTTTTTAAGTATTTTTATTATTGATTTTTATCAATATATAATTAAAAATAAAGTGTACTGTTTATGAAAATGAAACTAATAAGCAATACCACAACCTAAGCCTCCCCAACCAATTGGCAAGCTATAAAATCTTACAAGGAGCTCCATCTTCCAATCACGGGTGACAAGTTTTGACTTTTGAGGATTGCTGTGATCTGCCTATAAGGGGATCTAAACTACAGTTTAATAGGGATGGAGCAGGGTGGAATGTGATAAAAATAAAGAATTCAATTCAAGTTCTTAGGTAATTTTTAAATATTAACATAAATTAATATTCCATCCAACTCGTTTTTATGACTAAATTACGCTGTTTAAAATGCTGGTTTTGATTAAAATCTTGGTAAAAAATATTGATTAAAATTAATTACAAACAATAAATATATATAAAAATATAATATTTTTGTCAAAAATATCCTTGTTTATATCGAAGAGAGACAATATGTGAAAATAAAATACAATAATGTAATTAATATGAGTAATTAAATAAGGTAATTTGAAAAATCAGCAAACATAATTTAAAATAAATTTTAAATGTCTCTTATAGAAGATTGAAAGAAACATTATGTCATATTTTACCATTGCCTCTTATAAAAAATAGAGGGATTGCATAGGAATATGTCACGTATATTCTTCATTTTATGACGTAGAAAAGTGTTTTGTATCAATTTTTTTTTCCAAGAAAATCGAATTGAATTAAAGGGGAGTTTGAGGTTTATTAAGGACTGTTTGGGTAACCCAATAGTACTTTTAAAAAATATTTTTTTATAAATCTATATAAATTTCTTTACATATTTATTGCGTATATCGTAAAAACAATTTTAAAATTATAGTTTTGTTTTTATCTAAACACTCCCTAAGAGGTGTTAAATGAATGTTGAAATGGAAGAAAAACCATAATAGTTGTATAAATAAGTCACTTGCATTTTATTTTCACATATCAAAAATACATTAAATTAATAAAAAAATGTACTTTTGTTCTTGTTAAAAAATATGCAATACATTTTCTGTCACCTATTTACTATTCAATAGAAGTAAGTTTTCGTGATATGAATATTTTGGATTAAAAAAATGGTGGAGACGAGGGGGCAAGGAATAGTGATTAGGGGAAATTGAAATGTGACATGATTGAGGAATGGGGCGACATATCCACAGAATATACCTCGGGGTGTGGAAAGAAGGGAATCTTTGAGGAGCGCGTTACACGCGTGCGCCACGCCGCGTATGATTCGGGCAGAGACTTGTCTGGAACTTGGCCTTTCGCCTCCTCCAATGGTCATCCTATGCATTCGCTGTTTCGCACCGACTCTTTTCCTTTTCTCAATGCTCACGGCTTCCCTTGATTGCCCCTTCCCCCACTCGCAGCGCGTGCCTTAACTATGACGTGGAAATGTGCCCGTTTCCGCCTTATTGCACCCCGCTGGACCCCACCGCTTATTCTGTGAGAGGTTACCAAAACAGGAGAATTGTGTGAAAATCAAGAAATTGACGGTGCCAAACAACACAACGCACTAATGTTAGCCAACCAATAGGTGAGATGGGCTTCATCAAGGCTTTCTCTTTTAACTTCAAAACAACGCTTTCGTCACTGACTAGAGTTAGTCAACTCATAATTTATAAAAATATGAGTTTAAATCTTACTATTGATATAAGAATTTTTTTGATAAAAAATCTGTAAATATTTTTATAAGTGTTGTTTTAAGCCTGGAGGCATAACTTGGCCTTTATGACCTCGAGACTCAATTCACCTAAATTTTTTCATATAAAAAACAATACTTAGTTTCTTCTAAAATTCGAATTCTCTTGTGAAGAAGTGTTTATATTTATGGGTTAAGGTGCGCACAGCACCTCGAACTATTTTCTCAGGTACTTCTAGTGTCCTAAAATAATTTGCGGTACATCTAGTGTCTCAAACTAATTAAAACGGTACATCCATGTCCCGGGTTAACAGAAAAGTTAAGTTTGACTGTTATTTTGCTGACTCAGCCAAAGGATGACCCAAAAATCCTATGTGACGGACACGCAGGCATATGATGTGTATTATTTTGACAGGTTAAAGTGCACCGAGCACCCCGAATTATTTTTCCAAGTACGCCTAGTGTCCTAAAGTAATTTTTGGTGCATCCAGTATCCCAAACTAATTAAAACGGTGTGTCCACATCTCAGGCTAATAGAAAAGTCTCGTTTGACTGTTATCTTGTTGACTTAGCTGAAGGTAAACCGAAAAATCCTATATGGCGGACATACAAGTGTCTGATGTGTATTATTTTGACTGAAAATTCAATTTATTTCCTCCTCTTCTAACATTTATCTTTTGTCAGTTTTTAAACTTGAAAAAAAAGAAAGACCATTGATCCACCCTCTTAAATCCTAGTACATGTATCACCCATTCAATCCCATCCTTGTCTTTAACATCTTATCTCATTTTTTCCACTACTCTAATTTGAAACCCCAACTACCGTCACAACACACTTCCGTCTTTGTCTCTATCAACTCCTCATCCAACTTGCATTTACTTTCCTCCTCGTAGAACACGTAAACTTCCCCTTGGTCACTTCGTCAACATCACCATCGCCTCCTGAGAAAACACCCACTGCCATCTGGCTTGTCTCGGGAGCTTTAGTCAAAATAATACACATCAGATACCTATGTGTTCACTATGTAGGATTTTTTGGTTAACCTTCAGCTGAGTCAGCAAGGTAACAGTCAAACGAGACTTTTCTGTTAGCCTGGGATATGGACGCACCGTTTTAATTAGTTTGGGACACTGGATGCACAAAAAATTACTTTAGGACACTGGGCGCGCCTGGAAAAATAGTTCGGGGTGTTGAACGCACCTTAGCTCATCAAAATGATACACATCAGACGCCTATGTGTCCGTCATGTAGGATTTTTCTGTCAACCTTCGACTAAGTCAACAAGGTAATGGTCAAACTTAACTTTTCTGTTAGCCTGGGATATGGATGCACCGTTTTAATTAATTTGGGATATTAGATGTACCGAAAATTACTTTACGATACTAGGTGCACCTGGGAAAAATAGTTCAGAGTGCCAGGCGCACCTTAACCCTGTATTTATTGTCTCAAATAAAATTATTTTTTTAAAAAAATCTGGGGGTTTAACAAGAAAAAAAAACTGAGAACTTCCAAAATCTTGTTTTTTCAAAGATTTTACTCTTCTAGTCTTTAATATAAGATCTAATTAAAAAGTTGATCTTGGTTCTAATTATAGGACTTATTTTTCATATTTACCCATTCTTTTCTAAATTACCCTTATTAAATAATTAAATACTATAATAATACTTATTATTCATTAATAATATACCTATATATTTTATAAAGTCAGTGAGTATTTATTACTCATTAATTCTACACATACATCAATTCTACCATTTTAGAGTTTTAATAAAATAATTTAAAATATTTTGTGAGATGTCAGTTTTTTTAAAGAAGGTTTAACCAAGGATATTTTGAAAAACATATGTTATATTTATGATTAGGGAAAATTAATCAGGAAGTCCTTATAGTTTTATCAAGTTTTGAATCAGGTCCCTATTATTTTTTGCCTTTTTATTCAGTCCTTATTATTATTTTTATTATTAGGTTAGTCCTTCCGTACAAAAAAAATTGAAGATGCCGTTAAAGTTGACCAAGATATGCGCTGAAGCTCATCGTCCGTGTACTCTCTCTGCACCTTCATCGTTTTCACCCTTCTCTTGCACAAGCTTCAATCCATTCTTGCTAAGCCAACCTCCCATGTCTTGTCTGCAACTTCAGTGAGAGAGATAAAGATGAATCAATTCAAACAACCTTACTGTATCTCTATATTTCCATGCAACAAATTATCTTCGCCACACAACCTCACAGCAAATATCGAAATTTGTAAAGACACACAATGCATTATCCCAATATCAGAATTGTTGATCGGAATGCTAGCTTCTCCTCTTCCGGTCTTCTTTCTCTAACCCATTGTTTTTTATTCAAAAAATACCATTAGACACAATAAGTTCAAACTCATAACTCTTTTCAGTTTCTTGTTTAAAAAAGAATGTAAAGATCCAGTTTTTTTTTTCCAATGTTTATATATTACTTTCTTTT